GGAGTGGCGGTGGTTTTGAACTGCTGACCTTGTGGTAGCAGCCCAGCATGTAACCACTATGCCACCAGCACTCCTATAAACGTCCTTGTTTTCTTATAAATGGGATCATACAATGTTTGTCTTTGGCAGCTGACTTATTTTGTCCCCCATGATAATTTTAAGGTCCGTCCGTATTGTGGAATGCGTGAGGACGTCCAGTCTCTTTGAGGCCGAATACACTGTCTGCATATACACCACATTCTCTCCTTGGGTTCGAGTACCTTGTCTGCATATACACCACATTCTCTCCTTGGGCCGAGTACCCTGTCTGCATATACACCACATTCTCTCCTTGGGGTCAAGTACCTTGTCTGCATATACACCACATTCTCTCCTTGGGCCGAGTACACTGTCTGCATATACACCACATTCTCTCCTTGGGGCTGAGTACACTGTCTGCATATACATCACATTCTCTCCTTGGGGCCGAGTACACTATGCATATATACCACATTCTCTCCTTGGGGCCAAGTACCCTGTCTGCATATACACCACATTCTCTCCTTGGGCCCGAATACACTGCATATACACCACATTCTCTCCTTGGGCCCGAATACACTGCATATACACCACATTCTCTCCTTGGGGCCGAGTACCTTGTCTGCATATACACCACATTCTCTCCTTGGGGCCGAGTACACTGTCTGCATATACATACATTCTCTCCTTGGGGCCGAGTACACTGTCTGCATATACACCACATTCTCTCCTTGGGGCCGAGTACACTGTCTGCATATACACCACATTCTCTCCTTGGGGCCGAGTACCCTGTCTGCATATACACCACATTCTCTCCTTGGGGCCGAGTACCCTGTCTGCATATACACCACATTCTGTTGATCCATCCAGCGGGTGGTGGCTTTTCAGCAGCTCACTCTCACCCAGTCTTTAAAATGTGTTTGCATGGATTTTTAGAACTACTTCTTATTGCAGTAAAATATATACGAAGCCTTGTGTGGTATAAGCGATTAAAACTCAATTATTAGCCCAAAGTATGGCAGTTTGAATCGACCCAGACACGCCTCCTCAGGCGCCAAGCCTGGCCATCTGCTTCTGAAAGGGAAAGGGGAGGAAAAGAGAAACCCAACCACACTCACTGCCGTTGAGTGGACGCTGACTCCTGTCAGGACAGGCTGAGACTGACTCTACAGGAGCAGGAAGCCCATCGTTTCTGGGAGATCAAAGCCTCGCGTGCCCAGTAGAGTGGGTTTGCTGTGCACACGAGGGGTCCTGAGTTGCGGTCCACTTGACAGCAGTTGGCAACAGTATATACATGGAACAAAACATTTGCCATTTTAACCTGTTGTTTTATATTTTAGGAAGGAGGACTTGCTTACCTCCCAGTTTAGGAAGCTTGAAGCCCAAATTCAGGGCACTGGCTGTAGGGGAAGGCTTTATGTTTCCGTTTCTGTTTTTCTGTATCATAGGACCTGTTCTTTTTTTTTTTTTTCCCCATAAAGTCATATTTCATAAGAGAGAGTTTTACATAAAGGGTAGTTGTACATTAAGCATTCCAATCCAGTCCAGTCCACGCTCATAAGTACAACATTAGCCCATATGTCTGACACTGATCTACAAAGTCCTCCTCAATTTCACAAAACACACGCAGTGACGCCAACTGCAGGAGGAAAGTTGTATCAGTGGATGTGTAAGCATCTCAGCGCTGGCAGGGGTCTCCACACGGCTGCTCCAGCACCCAGGGCTGCATGGGGTAGGTCCACATGGCTTCTCCTCAGGGATGTCTCCCAGGGAGTGAGCCTTGCCAGCTGAGGCAGAGAACTAGCTAAGGCAGTCACAACTGGTCCGACCATCAGAGCAAGACACCAGACAGGCGAGTCTCGCCAAGCCATTTATCTCTCTGCCGCTTCAATTAATCCCACATGTGTTCATCGGCCAGGTTGGCACAGTGAACCTTAACTGTCTCATCAGTGTAAAGAACACTAAGTTCCTCACAACTGGTAGCAGCAGTCAGGGAAGCAGCGGTCTTGAAATCAAACAATGTATTGCATTGTGAACATTTGTTGCGCAGACCTTTTGAAAGTGTTCATGAGGAAGGACGTCGCTTTGAGGACAGAGGTGAGCCTACCTCAAGCTGTGGTATTTTCACCCAGCTCATGTAAGTGTGAAAGTTGAACACTGAAGAAGAAGCAAGGCATTTGAGTTAGGGTGTTTGCTTTGGTGTTAGCAAAAATGAGGAAGACCCTCCGTGAGACCGATTGATACAGTGGCTGCAGGGACCCATGCTTAAGAAGACCAGTCAGTTACATTCACCCTTTCCAAATGGCTCTCCTACTGCTAAACAGAAACTCAGGTGCCTTGCTGGCCCAGTGGGTTAAGTGTTGGGTTGCTAACTTGCCAGGTGGAAGGTTCAAGTCCACCAGCCTCTTGGTAGGAGAAAGATCAAACTGTCTACTCCCGTAGAGAGCCTCGCAGCTTTGGAACCCCTGCTAAGCAGTTCTACTCCATTCTGTAGGGTCACTATGAGCTGGAATTGGAAGGCGATGGATTTCCTTGTTTGACAAACAGAAACTAGTTCCTCGTCTGTTTTAATATTTACAGACCTCTTTGCTGTGCTCCTGGGTAGCCTCGTCTGAACCAGGCCGCTGAGGGGGGCGTGGGGGCGGGGGGCATGCAGGGCGTTTACGCTTTGGCAGTTCCACACTCCCTGCAGGGCCGTTCCGAAGTCGTCGTTCACATGAGGCTATCCATCCAGTCTGACAGTCCTAGACAGGGATATTTTGCAGTTTCAGAAAGTTACCCTTTTTTTTCCCCCACCATTTTTTAAAATCATTTTATTAGGGGCTCATACAACTCATCACAATGCATACATACATCAATTGTGTAAAGCACGTTTGTACATTCATTGCCCTCATCATTCTCAAAACATTCGCTCTCCACCTAAGCCCCTGGCATCAGCTCATTTTTCCCCTCCGTCCCCACTCCACCTCGAAAATTACCCTTTTTGTCCGAAATTTCACCCTTCTATGAAGTTTCATAGTTCAGGAACTCCTGGCTACACCCAGCCCGCTCTCCCATCCTGCCTTCTCTGATCCCTGCCTACTCATCCTGGCTGATCTAACCTCTGTTTTAAAATGCTGTCATTACAAAAACGTTACAGAAATCGAATCATGTGGCTTTTTGATTGTTCTTTTCTGGCCAGCATAATTCCCTGCAGATCCATCCAAAGTTGTCCGTTTCTCTGGGGTGAAACGGCCCTGGAGGATACTTGCTGGGCTGAGTGATAGCTGCAAGGAGCCACAGTGGCTTAGTGGTTACACATGGGATTGCTGACTGCAAGGTCAGCAGTTCAAAACCACCAGTTGCTCCACGGGAGAAAGATGAGACTGTCTACTCCTGTAAAGATTTACAATCTTGGAAACCCACAGGGGCAGGTCTGCTCTGTCCTACTGGGTCCCAGGAGTTGGATTCAACTTGATGGTTATAGTTGCTCAGGGTACAAGTCCTTTGTCGGATGCACAGTTAGCGGATGTCCCCCCAGTCTGTGGAATGTCTTTTCATCCTCTTCAGCTGGCCTGGCACAGAGCAAAAGCCTTACATCTGATGAACTCCACTGGCCAACTGCTTCCTCTTACGGATGATATTTTGGGTGTTAAGTTACCTTTGGTTTTAAGCCATGTAAAGAGGTTCCTTTTTTTAATTGATGAAAAAAAAATACTGTAGAATAGATGTAAATAATAATATGGTAACGTGCCCACGATATACCACTTCAAATCATCTTGCACACCAGCTTTGCCAAGCATTGACCGGTGCGGTAAGTGCCCCAGTGCAAGCGCGAGGGGAGGGGCTTCCCAGAGACTGTGCCCACCAGTAACCTCCCGTCATTCCCTCCCTGTAGATCAACATGTACCTGCTATCACGCGTCCTGTTTGCCCTGGGCCGCCTGGGTGTGGAGAAGGGCTATATCCCCGAGCTTGGATTCCACCCCTTCCCGCTGCTCACCGGGGTTGTGTGGGGGCTGGTGATGTGGCTCTTCGAGTACCACCGGCGCACGCTGCAGCCCTCCCTGCAGTCCTCCATGACCTACCTGTACGAAGACAGCAACGTGTGGCATGACATCTCAGACTTCCTCATCTACAACAAGAGCCAGCCCTCAGAGTGATGGGGCCCCAGGTGCTCATGGGGGCTTCCTCACCTGAGCAGGTGACCTCTGGCTCCTGGGAGGAGGATCGTTCCATGTCTGGTGGCATCATCGAATCCTCCTGGGGGATCTTGCCTTCTCACGGTCACAGCCCACAGCAGCCAGCCCGTCTTTCCCCGGGTGACACTTGCCAAAGTAAACACGCTGATTCCCAGTGCCCATCGAGGACCTGTCCAGCTGTGGACCAAGTTCTAGCTCTGGCTGGGGAGCCTTGGACTTGGTTCCGGCTGAACTGCTGACTGCTGCGGGCGTCAGCGCCTCTCTGGGCCTTGAACGGGGCTCCTCCAGCTCAGAGGAGGGGCCGGGGGCCCCTTTCTGGTGGGCAGGTTCTTGGGCTGGGCCTCTTAGGTCACAGGGGGCTCCTTGCTAGTGGGCAGCGGGTTGCAGATACTTT